CCCATAGTTTCTTTCCATTAAGAGCGATTAGATGATGTCTATTCAAAGTTGCTGATCCAGAGAGAAAATAAGAGTAGATAAAAGGAGATTTCAAGTGACCTCCTCATCCCTTTCACACCAACCTGAGCCCTAGAATAGCCTAGGATCAGCCAACACAAAAGCCCTTTACTTTCTCTTTTCAGCTTCAGAAGATTTCATGCAAGGGGTTAACAATAAAACATAGAACTACCCTGAGTTTTGTTAGATCATGCATTTGGAATACTTTATTAACTTCTCCCATTGATGAGCTACATGGATTTCCACATCTGAAATGGGCAAATAAAATATAGCTTAACGTAGGGCATAATTATTTACTATTTCATTTGGCTTGTATCAGTGATGCACTGTGTACATCCTTTTACATTTAAGCTTTACCTAAACCCCTCTCCCCTCAATGATAAAGGACACTGTAATAAACATATCTCTCTGCTGACAGTTTAGAAGGAAATCTTAGATCTACTATTTTGATAGGTTTCTGGGTGGTAAATACAACTGCAATATGACTGCAGTTACCAGCAGATTTGCTGGGGGTTTCCCAGCCGCTAGTTTAGGCCATAGTCAGTGAAGAAAATGGCATTAAAGATTTAAACACATTCAAGCAGTCTTTTGTCAGTGAAATGTCCAACTCAGATCTACTTCTGATGGGCTAATCCTGTAGTAGAAGAAATAGGTGCTCTGACAGGTAACTATTAAGGGAAATGATTATATAGTGCAGTTGATTGTATTGTCAGGATAATCTAACAACCTTCAAACTCATTTCAAAACTTTTCATCCAAACCAACCCATTTTCTCTGGGAAGAATAGCCATGCAGCTATTCTTCAGTCAAGTTGGGCATTTAAAGTAAAGAAATATGTTTTGCAAAGTTAAAGCCTCTCATTGTCTCTTTCTTTTTGCATAAATATGCTTAAATAGCCAAGACTTGGCTTTTGCAAAAGGTAAATATTTGGCCCTGGCTTTACTGACATACTAGAATATACTTTTTTTCCTCAAAAAAAAACTTGATTTACATCTGAAGGTCAGCACTTAGTTTGCTCTCCTGCCATCCTCCTAAGGTTGTTAGTCCTGGGCCCTCTAACTGAAAGTCCAGACATAAATGGGGTGTCTCCCTTATCTTTCCCAAAACATGTTTGTTTTTTTTAAAGGCTAGTTTGAGATAGAAAACTAAACCACTTACTAAGGTAAAGTACTTATCACTCAGCTTTTTGACTCAAAGGTGACAAAGAATAAGTGCCTGGGCTACCAGAGTGACAGTGAGCACCAAAGCCTGCTAGTTCTATGGCTCATTGAACCATATAGATAGGTTAAGTAAGAGTAGTCAGTCCAGCAGAAGCCCAAATCCTACCCTGGCCTTTCCACCATGGCTTTCATGTTAACAGAGGAAGAACTTTTTACAGCTGGGCAGCTATAGGCAGACTGAACACAATCTTGAGAATGGGAGAGAGATGTCTGATTTAGGCTGGGACATTTTGTTTGGTTTGTTTTTAGTTTAGTAACCACAAAACATTATGTGAACTTTCCTGAACCTCTCTTCACCCTCCATCCTTCCCCTCCCAAATATCATGCTAAATACATCTCCTTCAACTGTATTCTTCCTGGCTTTAATCTCATGCTAGGGGAAACCAATTTATTTAGTACCTTTAAAATAAGCTCTTTGGGAAAGGTCTGCATCAAGATCAGAGGAATTGACCTCTCAGTAGTTGCAAGCATGTTCATCACTCCACATGAGCTTGATAAGACAGCGTTATTTCTGTCCTGTGGTTTCTCTAAACAGAGTAATACTGTTTTAACGACTTAAGGGTAAAGAAGAGGTATACAAGATAATTTTACATACATATCTAGTCATTTGTAGGTCCTCGTGGCTTTTGAGCTAGAAGTACAAAATATTTTTGCAAAGCTACTTTTGTTCAGTGTGGCTTAGCAATACCTAAAGTGTATATGGTATCTTTCTGAAGAGCAAAATGCCATACGAAAGAGGCCAAAGGATTAGTGAAGAAGGGTTCAACCCAATTCCTACACCGTAAGAAAAATGTCAATGTTATGCTAATGGGGTAAAAGGCCACTTATACTCCGACTCTGGGGCCTGGACCACCAGTTCACACTATGCCCATATAGTGGGCAATCACAGATTCTACTTCTCTCTTCTCCCCCCAGATTACAGCTATTTACTGGCTGCCTGACTGGTAGAGAACAAGTGTTGTGTGGCAAGCTTTTAAAAAAGTGATTAACACCCAACCATGATGCTAGAAGCCCACAATGGGTGTTGTAAGATTACTGCTTAATTCCTCTCCCCAAATGGAAGGCACCTTCTCATTGCCTCAGGGGGAGGGGGCTTGCACCGTAGACTTCCAGTGCATTGAGCAGGTCTGTGGGAACTAGCAGGGTGGAGGGAGACTCCAAAAAGGCCTGGGAGGCCCTCAGGATCCCCAAACCAGCCTAACCATAAGTGACCTTGGAGAAAGCAGAGCCCCAGTGTCTCCCCCACCACCTCACCAGGTCTGGATGGCAAAGTAGACAAAGTACTGAGGCAAGGGCTATAATGAGTACCAGTCGAATAACACATTCAAGTTCAATTTAACTTTCCCAGGGTGCTGGGTAGTATGGGGCCAACAGCCTGGGTGAGAAGAGAAGAGGGAACATCTGAAAAAGGACAGAGGGGTGAGAAAGGGGTGGAAATTGTTACTCCATTTTCTGCAGCTGAGCGTGCCTGGACATGTGTGGAGTTTCACAGTTTGAGGACTCAGGTGCCCTTGAAAAAATATGATCATTTTCCATCAGATGCCCTGTCCAACAACAGATATTAGGCCCAGGGATGAGTATGCCAAGTTGGACTGGTATCAAACAACAGCTTTGAACAAAGAGAGCCAGGGCTTCCCAGGACATAGGCTGACCCCTCAGGACCTCCACAGAAGCCATTTCCCTGGAGACAGGACTGTGAGCACACGTGGTGTGCAACTGCTTTCAGGAGCACAAGGATCTCCAGGAGAAATTGAGTGCTGCTGTCCTAAAGACCGGCAAAGTCCCTCCTCAAAAAGTCTCGATTTCACCCTGGCCCCTCTCAGCAAAGAAGTGGAGACACTAGACCCAAAAGACCACAAACAGTTCCACCTTTCCAAAAAGCCTAAGGCTTCCGCTGCTGTGGGCACCACTAACAAGCAGCCGCCCACCCCTACTCCTAGAGCTAGGGCTGGGAACTGCAGTTCCCTCCTTCGCAGAGGAATGGCAGCCTAGCCTGAGGCCTGAAGCGGCGGGCCCCCACCCCTCCCGGGGTCACTTTGGGTCCCAGAGGTCTTTTTTGCTAATTTGGAAGCTGGGGGGGGCGCGAAGAGCCCACAGTGAGGATGGGTGGGCGCTGTCTCTCCCATGGAGTCTCAGCTGGTCCTGCAGCTTTGTTTCAGGACCTGACCCCACCATCCCTTCCAAGCAAGGCTGACTCAATCAAGCCTCGGGCACGGTCCCGGGGGTCAGCTCCCCGGGCCACCCCACCCCAGACGCCAGCCCTGCCCGCCCTCTGACGCAAATGCGCGCCCCTGCCCCGCGCCGGGGTTGGGGGAGCGCTCCAGTTGGTTTTAATAGAAGCCCTTTCTTACGCGCGCGCGCGCGCGCGCGTACACACACACACACACACACACACACACACACACACACACACACGGTCCCACCCCTGGGAGGCGACCCCCTTCCGGCCCCCAGTCCGCCAGGCGCAGCGCGTGGAGTCTGGCTCTGCTACCCCAGACACCGATGCTCTTGCGTGGCCGCCGCAGGTTCTCCGGTTGGAAGAACCGCTGATGTCCCTTTTAATCCGCTGACACTATCGCCCACATCAAGCAGGCAACATCGATTGCCTTATATTGCAAACGGCGACCGCAGGTGGGCGGCCGAGCCGAGCTCCGGAGGTTGTGGCCACAGCCAGGCTTGAGTGCCAGTGCCCTGGCCAGTGGGCTCCACCGCAGAGCCCCAGCTCTGCACGCTCCGGGATGGCGGCGCGAAAGCTAAATCTGACGCGGTCCCAGGTCCCCTGCCCCTGCAGCCATTTCCCGCCCGCGGTGGGGGTAGGCTAATGGCTGGGGGGGGGGTTGGATTTGAATTGATGCTGGGTAGGCAGGATCCTCACTCCACCGCGGTGCAGCGGCTGGATGGAGCGGCTGGGCGATAGCATCTCCAGACCAGGCCTGGCGCAAAGTTCTCCTGGTCCTACCTTGGCTGCAGTGACTCCATTTCTAGCCTTCGGAGGCCGCGCAAACTGAGAATGCCTTTCTGCCTGACCACGTTACCAACCCCCAAATCAAAAGAAACGATCATCATTGTGTTACTTGCCTGGTAGGGCAGGACTTGGCCAAGTCTCGCTTCTGGTGCCCACGACGCACAGTCCGGGGTCCGAGGGAGGCTGGGCGGGCGGACCCGGCGTCCAGCAGGCCTTAGCTTCCCTGAAGCTTCTCTCTCTCTCTCTCTCTCTCTCTCTCTCTCTCTCTCTCCCCTCTCCCAGCTTCCTCTCTCTGCCTGCTCCTTCTGCTCTGACTCCCTGCCTCTGACTGTATGGGGGATTAAAATTGAGAATTTCTATATAAACAGCGCGTGCTCTCCCCCTCTTCCTCCTCCTTTCTGCCTTCTTTTCTGCCTTTCTTATTTTCCTGAGGGGAGTGTTTTTAATCGTATCAGTTTCACCTGTAAACTGACCAGGAATCGTGATCTGTACATTAGGGCTTAGCCGCTAGGGCCAGGAGCCTGTGCCACCCGGTCCCTCCTCTCCATCAGTAGCCTACAATGGGCCGCCGCCTGCGGAGTGCAGGCTCCATTATTGGAGTTCGAGGGGGCAGTAGGGCAGCCTTTATTCTGATCTTTTAAAATGATCACTGGTTCCCGAGAACAAGAAGCGCAAAGCCTCCCCCAAACACGCGCTGTTTTCCAAACCCCTCCCTGGGGAGATTTCAAGTGGGACCGAGTATTTAAAAGCAAACCCTACCTCTGTCAATACAGCATGGCCATTTACTTCCACCTTTACCTGAGGGCGTGTTGGAGCTCGGAACGCTCGAGTAGAGACAAACTTTTACGCTTTCTGGAGTCAAGGGGTGGGCTGGCAAGAGCGACTCCCACTCCCGGCGGCGGCAGCGGCTTTGTCACTCCGCCGCTCCGCTCGCGCCTGAGTCTGCCTAGGGGAGCGATCTTAAAACGAAGGGGGGTGCGAGTGTGGGATTGGAGAATATGTAACTAATAGAAGTATCGTTTTCCCCCAGTACGATCTTTCAAGGAAAAAAAAAAATCCATTGAAAGAATTTTCAAAGTGCTGTCTTCGTTTGGAGAAAAGGCACAGGCTGCCTGGGGAGGGGAGGGACTGGGCTGCGTGCCTCCCGGGATCGGCTCCCGTCCGCTAGGTGGCAGCCAGAGCTAGCGATTCCTGCAGCCCCGCGGCGGGACCCGCTCCTCCGCCGGCCCCTCCTTCTGCGACCAATCACCTTCGGGAATGGGGTCTCAGTGCCCTCTCAACACACAGCCTCTCTCTCCTCTCTCTCTCTCTCTCTCCCTCTCTCTCCCTCTCTCTCTCTCTCTCTCTCTCTCTCTCTCTCTCTCCCCCCCCCGTTCGTTTGCTCTTTTCCTGGGACTCTGACTTGACTGCACTAACTGCCCCCCCACGGCAAAATGAGAACTTACTACATTTTTATTAATAAGTATTGAAGCATTGTTTGGAGTTGGAACATCCTAGGGATAAAAAATGATGAAGAAGAAAAAATGGTATTCATTGGAAACTTTATTTTAAAATCATTTTGGAGATGAATAGGAACCGTCGATTCGGATCGAATTTGTGGCAGTAGCAATGAGTTCATGAGAATGCTTTGTCGTAATTAAACGTTTAAAACTATGATAGACTAAGGAGCAAAAAAATGGGAGACTTTATTTTTTAAAAAAAAGCAATGTAAAATGAGCAGAATCTAGACTAGAATTATGTTTAATGTGAAAGAAGAAAAATCTAAACCTAGAGAATTCACAAATCATTAAAATTGTGGGGTTTCATTCTTATTAATTTTTCCTAACGTTTTCAATGACACACTTTAGGCTCATAAAATTCTATTTTAAAAACTTTTCAGGAGACATAAAAATAATTTCCTTCTCATTCTCGTTTTTTTCCCATCGCAGCATATTCCCCTCATCGTCCCTTCCCCCTCGGGGTGTGTGTGTGTGTGTGTGTGTGTGGTGTGTGACCATACACGACCCATACTAATCAGGTCTCAGAGTAAATAGCAGCGCAGGGCGATCTCAATGTAAATTGCGCTTGTCAGAAGCACGCCCCCCCCTTACTTTCTCTCCTCCTCCCCTCGACATCCCAGACTGTAGGTAGCTAAGAGGGAGGAGGGAAAAAAAAAAGAAAGAAAGAAAGAAAAAGAGGAGGGGGGAGGGGCTCTTCAACCAATGGCGTGCAGGAGGCTTGGCTAACCTTAGCCTCCCATTTTCTCTCTCCCCCCATTCAGGGCTCTGACCAGTCAGTCGCCTTTGATTATCAGTTGCCAGCAGCCCTTCTCTTGGCTCCTTGACACGAGCTCCATATAAGGCAGCGATCTCCATAGAAACGTGTCAGTTTCAATAGTAGTGTCAAAGTTCACTATATACAGACATTCGCGCAGATCCCCCTTTCGGAAACATTGCTCTGAGAGTCCTCCCGTTTAAACGCATTCAATTTTTGGTTCTCTCTCTCTCTCTCTCTCTCTCTCTCTCTCTCTCTCTCTCTCTCCCTCTCTCTCCCTCTCCCTCTCTCCCCTCTTTCCCCTCTCCCTCTTTCCTCTTTTTCTCTCCTCTCTCCCTCATCTCCTCTCTTACCCACTCTTCTCTCGCCCTCTCTCCCTTCTTTTTCTTACATTTTCTACTAGTTGTTTCTCCTTCTTTCTTTCCCTCCTCTCCCTCCTCCTTTTCTTTCACTCCATTCCTGCATTAGAGAGAGGGCTAAACTTAAAAAAAAAAGGGAGGAGGAGGAGGAGGCGGCACCCCTTCGTATTCTTATCGTTATTTTATACATATATGATTTTCTTTTGGAGGGAGGGTGTTGGTTCCCGGCTGAAGAGCACTTATTTAAAATACTAAAAAAAGAACATTTTTGGGCGATCTCCAGGGTTTTTTAAACTAGCTCTGTGTGTTATAGCAGAAGAAGAAGGAGCAAGGAAGAGGAAAAGAAGAGGACTCTTTATTCGACCTACTTTGGATGTCTCTCTCGCTTTCTCTTTTTCCTTTTTTCTCGAGTATTTTCTTCTGATTTTTATTTTTCTCTATTTCGCTGTGAATTCGTCGCCGGCGTGAATTATTCCGAATTTTTCTCCCCCTTCCGTCACCTCCCGCAAGAAGAAGGCAGAGAGAGCCCGGCGCCACCAGCACAACAAAAAGCAAAGTGTGCGGTCTTCCTCGCCCACCGGCTCCCGCTCTCCAGCGCTGCCTTCCTGAATGGCTGGCTGCGTCCGGCCCTGGACCTGGCCCCCCGACACCCGCGCTCCCTGATCCTCGCCTGCAGCCTCGCCCCGCGTCCTGCTCTGATCACCCCGCTCCCGGCACTCCGGAGCCGG